TAGAGTGTAACGTATAATAATTTATTAACAATTAGGGGTAGCTCGTCAAAAATGTTTAATTTTAAATGCTGACCAACGACTTTGTTTTAGTTTTAAAATGCAACTATTTATGATTTATTATATTATGACTATTATTATTATTATTATTATTATTATTATTTATATTTTTTAGATTCAGATTGATTTAGCAAAAAAAAAAAGTAAAATCTGTATGTGACCTATAGGGGAGAAGATCATCTGCGCACGTTTTCTTGACTTCCAGAATCCCTTCCCATCATTTGAAAGATGAGTAAAATTTGAAGTAGCGAAAGATTAGCAATATTTGAAAAAAATATGATTATAAATATTTGTTTTGATACATTGTTACTGCATAAATTACAATTATAAAGAATCAGCTGATTCACCTATGATTCATATTTATGACGTGAATGTTTCTTTGAGTATTGAATCCGCATGATTCTCATCACGATACCGTATTTGTCACTCTCACTCTTAATACAATCACTTTTCAATATGTGATTTATTCAGTTATTATAAGAAAATTACAGATCAGCTGTTAACTGTGTTGATTAAATTTTTATGTATAAATTAAACCAGTACGAGAAAATTACATCGGTTTACAAAAAAAAACAAACTTTTTTTAAGTAACAGGAAGAAAACACTGATTCTGTAAGATAATTTTCTTCCCAATCCAGATCTAATTTCAGAATTTCTGTATCGGCTTTAGGTGTCAGGTCATGATCATTTTTACCTCCGTGTGAATTATATCTGGCCAAATGACACGCTCCAAACAGATCCAAAAGTATGCTGTAAAGCACCGGAGGCGGGACTCGAATCCGCAATCCTTCGGTCCGAGATCGCTACTGCACTATTACCTTAACGATCTCGGCCACCCGGACCGGCTTTCATCCTTTTAATGTTCCTATCCTTTAAATGTGAACACTGTTTCCGTTATTAAGAATAGTACCAGTATTATAATGGCTTGTAGGGCTGATAATGTAATTTGCTTTGAGAGCTACGATGTAATAGCAAATTTAGCGCCCTGTTATATACAATTGTGATATAATATATTTTGTTTTAATGATAGTAATACATTATTTTTAATTGATTAAAGGCGCGTTTACACGGAGAGAGTTTTCTCTCCTAACTTTCCGGAACTGGTTAGGAGTGGTAAATGTGGTCGGATTCCAGGATGCGGAAAATAGTTTTGTCCTAATGTAAAGGTTTGAAAATGGTTGTAGTTGACAATTTGTTTTAGAAACTTTTAGTGAAGTTGAGTATAAACTATTTGAAAGAATCAGTTTTAAGTTCTCTTCAAATTTGTTTATATGATATAAACGAAGAAAGATGTAAAATTCTCGTAGTTCTCTATCAAGTCGCTGTTCAGTTCTTTGTAGCTATCAGACCTGACGTTTCCTAGAAAGTATTTTTTCATTTATTTGTAGTCACATCGACATCTAAGGTCATTAGCGTCTCAAAACTGGTACTTTGATTTAACAATAGTTACAGTTTATAGAAAGTTTGTTACAACGTTTTTGAAAGATTGCCATGCTGCGTCTTGCGTATTTAATTCCTATCGTCCTTCCCTTATTTGAGGGCCAAATTTATCTCTGATTTTCCAATTGCATAAGAAGCAACAACGTTTTATACACCCAAGCTGTAACTCTAGTAAGATAACTAGTAGATAACTTTCAAATCCCCACATATCTGTCAAGAAAAATTGTCATACTTGATAGCGAATAGTAAGAGTTTCATGTTCTCATAATTTTCCTTCAAACCAACTGCTTGGGCTAAAGGAACGGATGGATATATGTTTCCATTGTGTAGTAATACTTTCAAATTTGTTTTCGGGGAGTCTATGAACAAACGCCAATCGTCAGATTTTTATGCTCAACGCCCAGTAACTGGAAAAAATTTTCAACATCATTGCGGAAAACTAGGTTCCCCTCTTTAGAAAACAAATGCTCAAGTTCCTTTTGGCGTTGCGGAAAAAACGTACTTTGGCTTCACCCTGCAGTTGTTTCATCCTTTCAATCTTGAGGAGAGTAATTCTGCCTTAATTATACTTAAAGCAAGATCTCAAACCAATTTAAATCCTCCTGGGTTACAAAGTGAGATTAATTTATTGCATCATCTTCAGAAAAATCTGTATCATTCTGTAATTCAATCAGAAAATCGGAAAATTCTTCTATAATTGCTATGTCATCTGGTGGAGTTGGTAGAGGAAAGCCCCATGAAACACCGGTCGAATTGCTGAATCTAAAGACGGATATCTAACACTGGGTCTGGACTCCGAACTTATTCCAGATGTATTTGTCAGATGTTGTTCCTGATGTAAGTTGCAGTCTGTCAAATGATGCTTAGGTCCACGCATGTCATAGGGACTGCAAAAGGCATATGAAGGGAGCCTTGCAACCAGCCAATTAACAGTAACATACATTTGGCACAAGAGATTTCAGGAGCCCAAGACTTGTTCTGGTCTATTTTGTTGTTGAAATAACGTAAGCTCTTCTTAATAGAGTAACCTTTCGTCTTTGCGCTTTGAAAGTCAGCCCACCACACATGTAAAAAAAAACTGTTTTTATAATTAACGCACTTTTGAGACATGATTCTTATACACTTCTACACTACATCGTATTATATAGTGGATGGTATTACACATTTCTATCACAATCCAAGTGACAACGGAAGAGAGCACAGAATTAGCTTCTTTGTTTTAAGAAACATGACTATGAACATGTTTTAAGAAACAAGACTTGATGAACGTGATTTCGTCGACGTGTGTTGTAATTATAAATATCAGTGTTGCATGAAAATATGTTCCCGCCGTCAAGTAAGACACTTTTGACAACTATTACGGATTCATAAATAATTAGGCAAGGCAGTGGTAAGATTCCAAGCTCAATGAAGAGACACTTGTAGGAATCACGCGGATGGCATTTTTTCATTATTTGAATAATTTGCAATCTAATGGTCTGGGTACTGATGAGGTTCCCCAGAATATTAAGCCATATGTCAGGAGAGAATGCACAGTTGCAAAAAACACCCAACGAGCTGCATCAAGGCTGACGGAATTTGAATGAATTCTGAATGCGTAACATAACGAACTTAATTTAGTGTTTAATATTGTTATATGCATATTCCATTTGAGGTTTGGCTGAATTGAGAGACCTAGAAATTTTGTTACCTGAACATCAGCTAATTGCATATGGTTCATTTTCAACGGAGCATTCGAAATCTGATTTGAAATGCAAAAAAGCATTGAAACTGTTTTCCCTTCGTATACTATTAATTTATTATTTCAAAACCAATTTGAAACTTTTAAAATCGTACTATTTATTGTTTCTTGCAAAGTACTTTCGTGTCATATCAAACAACCGTTCTTCCGTTTTTAATAGACGAGGGCATATCGTTTACGTATATCAGAAAGAGGATAGGACCTAAGATCGAGCCTTGCGGGACCCATTCACTGGTATTCAATTGGTAAGGAAAAGTAAATAATGTCTTTTCGTGCCAGTACGGTATTTCTTCTCTTTGAGATTGATGTTTAAGGTACGAGATTGTCCAATGCAGGAATACCTCGAATTCCATAAGAAGGTGATTTTGATAGCAAGATGTTTGGGTCAATAACGTCAAAGGCCTTCTGAAGATCTCAAAATACTCCAATGGGTGCTTCATTTTGGTCCATTGATGAAGCAAAATCTTGAGGACAAGAAAAAATGGCAGTTTCCATTGATTTTGATTTTCTATAACCGTTTGTGAGTCTGAAAACGCTTCGTTTTTCCTGAGAAAAGTTTTCATTCGCGTATAGAAAAGCCTCTCTAATATTTTCGAAAAACCTGACAAAAGAGAAATTGGCCGGTAATTTTGAATTTCATTATTGTTCCCTTTCTTTTAAAAGTGGCTTAATTTTAGCTGTTTTGAAAATATCTGGAAATATTCCTGTGCATAAAGAAGCATTGAAAATGTGAGTTAACGGGTACATCAAGGCAAGTACTCAAGTTTTCAATGAACAATCCGGGAATTCATTTAAATCTGTTGAATATTTATTTTTCAATTTACTGACTATTATCAGGATTTCGATAGAAGAAGTTTTGGATATAAAATTCGTGTCAACAATTTTTTGGGAATGGGATGATGTTGAATTTTGCAGTTTTAGTTCCTTCGTGATTTCGGTCACAATTCTCGAAAAATTGGTTGAAGAGATTTGCCATTTTCCCGAATTACTTGATTCTCTTACATTATTCTTTAAAACAACATTATGTACTAAGTAATGAGATGATGTGGTCGTATTTTTTTACGATATTCCACATTGCTTTAATGTTGTTACTTGCGTTCAAAGCGTTGTTACTAGCGTTGATCGGAATTCGGATCCGTATTCCTCAAATCTATTTTCAGTGGGGACCGTATAACTTTATTTGGGTGAACTTTTAGGTTCTGTGATTTTGATTTCAGGTTAGATCTTTTTGAGTAGTTAGCCGATGTTTTAAATTTTGCCCTGCGGCATGTTGATCGTTACATTGTATGTTGTCCTGGTTTCGCTGTTTCATCAAGATCTGTTTATTTGGATTAGGTTCCATATTCGTTTGGCTTGGTTGAGATTCCATTGTTAAATCGTCACTGACGGTTTCCGTTGCTTCTTCTTACAACATCGGTACGTTTAACTTCGGGGTGGGGTAATCACTGTTTAGTGGCGTTAGAGCATTATTGAGAGCAGACCGGTTGTTGGGCAGTATCTATTGAACATAATGCAGCACTCACTAGTGGCACTGTTTCCGCAGACCACGAGATTTACGCTGGATCAACATTTTTCCTTAGTCACACGGGTATCACTGTTCACTTCGATAAGAGCGACCCGTTCGGAGCATGTTATAATCTCCCTAGACGAGCTGGTAGATTCCGGTGAAGTGAAGGGAAACCTCTCTGATACATCATCCTTTCTTATTCCATCTCAAGTAATTGAATTTGTTGTAATAATTCATTTGAAGTAGTTTATTCAGTTGCCTTTTTGTGTCTTTCCTCCTCGGCGCTTGCGCTCGCTCGCTTGGCGGTCCCTTCTCGAGGAGGCGTGCGTCGGGCAGTGGCGCTACACGCTGTGTGTTGTTTGCAGTTGCCCGAGAGGCGCGCCCTCGCCACCCTGCTCCGGCGCTGTCGCTACCCCGCCGCCGCGCCGCACTTTGCCGGCCTAGTTAGCGCGCTGCCGGGCGTCCATGCACGAGTATGTATCCCGAGATGTACTTTTTATTGCCAAATTGCTTGACGAGACGCCCGGCTTGCATCGGGCGCTCACAAAAACTTATTTTTGTGCGGTTTGTGGGTGATCGCTATCTTCTCTTGCTTGCATTTGTCTTCCAACGTCCGTGTCGGGAATGTAGATATATTGTAATTATGATACTTGTAGTTTATTAGTTTCAATAATTTTGGTGGGTAAGTATCTCTGTGAATGTTCATGAAGCGACGTGGCGTAAGAACTTCTGAAAATTTGTAATCTGTTATTCATTCACAAAATGGTCAGGGAATAATATACCTATGAGTCTTTTGATTAGAGCATGAATTTGTTACCAGAATGTGTAGTATAACTTGGATTAAAAATAATCTACGTTAGTTTATTCGTTCGGAAAGTATAATAATTGCTTAATTACCAGCCATCCCGATTTTTGTTTTTGGAATACAAAATGAATGAATAATTATAGTAGGATATGAATGAGACATTTGCAATGAATTATTCTAGCGTTCACTTGCTCTAAGTGTGTTTAAAGAAGAAATATTTCATCTAATTAATAAAAAAAATACATATGATTAATTTGGGTGACTTTTCATGACTCAAAATAGATTTATATCTGTATTTATTATTGGATTATAAAAAGTAATCATGAACAGACAGTTTATTCTTTCCATGACATAATGTTAACTGCGCGTTTTGTTTGTGACAAGCGTTTAATTTATTCGGTCAAATTTTTGTTTGTTTTTTTCTACATGAGGTTACCCAAATTCGAATTTTGAATGTCCTTTCCAGATCAGTAGAAAAACTTGGAAGATGCGAAAAACTGGAATATATCGGAGATGTGAAAATGTACAAATGGTGGAGAGGCACACGAACGAGAGGAAGTAAGATGAAAAGAAACAACTCGGCATTATCAGTAAGGTAGACAAGGGAGATCGCATATGCGCGAGGTAAAAAGTGAGCTTCAATATTAATTGGTTGTGCTCACGACGCTTCCGCCTCTGCCTGCAAACTGCGGCTGGCCCAACTTGGCAAGCCATTCTCTAAGACTACCACACGTGGGTTTACGTCTTGCCACTTTTATCCCGCCCTGCTTTCCTATTCAGCTGACTTTGCAATCTAAACTTTATCTTCTGAACGCTGCTTAAATGATAACTTCCATCCACACCTCTCACGCGGTCAGATATTTGGCCCACATTCTGCAGAAAGTAATCAACCCTCAAATTTGCAAAAAAATATTTAATTCTATATTCTTATTCCTTGTATCACCCTGTCTTGCAAAAATGATCCAACGCATGATTATGTCACCTTCGAACTAGTTATGAAAAAACTGAATGAATTTGTTACATCTCTATGCAAAAAGAATCCAGGTCGTATGGTTTCTTTCATCAGAAAAATAATTCTGCTTTCTGACGTTATAAGTGCAAACCTTTCTACGAGAAAATAGCCGTTTCTTTATGTGAACTTTTTTCTTTCGAAATTGTTATTCTAAACGTATCGTACGTAAAAATTGTAAAAGTGGAAATGTTTAGTGGAACAAGCGAGCTGTAACAAATGATAACGAACAGAAAAGTGGATACATGTAACGAGAAAATGTTCGGTTTGCAGACTCGTGGATACAAGTAACGAGAAACAATACTCTTTGTTCATCGAGAATAAATCATTTGCAGGGCACATTTCTGAGATTAATATAAAAAAGTAAAAAGTGGTCAGTCATTTTCAAATCTGCTTAAGAATAATTTCCCACTATTGTGGGTCAATAGAAGTGAGTGAGCCAATTCCAGCTCCAAAATGTTAGGACAGAGAATCTATCATGCATTTAATTCCCGGAGATGCTCCAAACTTCTACACCGCTTTGCAAGGAGATGAAAAATAGAATATGATATCGATGGTTTCTCTGGATTATCAGATTTTGAAATTGTGTAATTGACATATTGACAGGGTAATGTCTATGCCGTCTATGTAAATGAATTACACTTATTGACACATCAGAATAAACTTTTGTTGTTGAAACAAAACATATTGCTTGATTCGCTACAATATACTTGATTTTGATTCATCCAACATTCTGCATCAAGGAACCAACCCACAAAAGATGTAATATCTCAGTATTAGAAAATGTTTCAGAAGCGATTTTTACATGAAATCCCTTTTAATATGCTGTTAGTTGAAGTCATCAGTACATACATTTTTTTGTTATTTTTTATTCGCAATTAACATTAAGTCCATGTTTCTCAGTTCTGTTTCTTTGTGGATTGTTTCCTTTCTGGATAATATGTTTCATTTATCGCGTGTTTAGTCTTTAGGCAATACATCTTCCTTACTCTTCCCGAAATAGTTAATGATATTAGACATGAAAAGTTTTTAAAAAATTAAATTTTTGCTACACCTAGTTGCATTTCTCATTTCACGTTGTTTCAAATAATTCTGCTAAACTTAATACTACTCAATAAACTACTGGTGATACAGAATGGCACAGACTTTCCCATATTAGTTTATTTTCCTTTGGTTTCGTTTTGCTATTCAGAGTTGTCGCATTCTCTTGCCAGCTGCCATCAATCGCCGTCCAAAGTATATATTTTTTGACATTCTCCTATTTTTTTCTAACTGTAGAACGGAAATATTATTTTGAGAATATTGAAGAACAGTAAAACCTCGTTATAAATGTCTATTTTATTTAAAGATTTGGAGCAGTGTATAAGCAGTTAAAATATATAAAATAGCGTTTACGCGCAACTGTAATTTTGAAATATGAGCTTTTCACAGACAACTATTTAGTTTTCGAAAAACTTCATAGAAAGTAATTTCAGACACCTCTAGCCACAAATGCAATAGTGTTTACAAATCGCTGAAAATGTGCATATTAAAGGCGTAAGAGGTGTTTAAAAAATTACATATGTGTAATTTTGGAAAAACAAATGAATAGTGCAACATGATTTTATGGCATCACATTTAGCACTATCCCTACCAAAAATTTAAAACATTTTTGTAATTTTTTAAATTGCTCATATTGTACGCGATATTGCGCGAGAATACTAACATTTTCAGAACAACATATTGTAAGTCTTTGTGTAAGGGTCTTACACAACAAGGGAAACGACACGAGTGAGTATATACACGTTTTTATTTACACACTGTACATATTTACAACCTCACCCTAAGGCGGTTGCCAGAGCTACCACTGCAGCCCTCCTCTCCTCACGTGGCGCCTTGCGGCGGAACGCCTACGACCAGCCTGCAAGGCCGCGTCGCAGGATTGGCACTGGTGTGCCCCGGCAATTGAGCATCTGCCCGAATGTTGTTTTGAAGAATACCATCACCCTGTCCGAAGACTCGTCGAACAACACGTGCCCACTCGGCACTCCGCTACAAGCCTGGCGGACAAGTTTTTGTGGTCTAAGCCACGAGGAACCGCAAAACGTTACCACTCGCGCCGTCTTGCCACGGCGTCTTATAGGTCCAGGTCACCTGACACTCCTCGTCACTACTCCCACGCCCGCGCGGTTGGAAAGGCCTTTCCTGGCGTCTGCTGGCCCCGCGACCATTTTCTGTGAAGGTCTCCTTCTTTGTTCTATCTTTTAGATCCCCACAGCCTCCTACCTTGCCACTCGGCTTTGCTGCCACGCCGTGACGCTACAGACTCCTCTATCTCCGGGACAGAATTTTTTCGCAGGTAAAAACCACAGGAGAAAAATTCAAGATCGAGCAATGAAGGTCTCCATCCACAATTTTACTGCTTCCCATGAAGATATCTCGATTAAAAATTGTTCTGCCCCAGTCTAACCTAGGCTATTTCCCACAATTTCCAACTTCTGGAATTTTCATGATCTGATACATACATATAACGCAATACTGATTACATATCTACATAGACAATACAGATTACAATACCATACATATTTTTACAGTTTTCAAAAACATGCTTGCGCTTCTTGATGTGGTCGAATTATTACAGATTACACAATACACAATATATATATATAATATTATATATACTATATATATATATATACACTGATTATTATAGAGTTCAAACAACATTTTTTTCCAAATGTTATTATTGTACACAACAATTCTTTACTAAGTTCATTTACATTAACCGATATCTTGAGGTGATTATACAATATCAATAGGAACACTCGAAGTGCAACCATTATACATCACGAGATCAGTTCAGGTTTCATTAAAACATGCGACCTTAATGGTCGGCGAATCTGTTTCCCTTGAACCCTTTTTTGTTGGCAAATTTACGATGTCATAAGAGTGTAGCATTAACGACCATCTCAATAATCTGGGTTATTCCCAGAACAATTTCCTCAGCCATAACATAATGGGTTATTGATCAGTTTCATCTTAATTTTACCGCCCATCAATAATACCCAATTTCTGCAATTCCCAAATTATTGCGTAACATTCGGGCTTCAACTGTACTGAATTTTTCTCTACATTCTGTCAGTTTCTGCTCAAATATAGAACGGGTTTTATCATTACCGTCTCGTCCGTTTGTCGCTAACACTACACCTTACCTCTCTTGACTTGGCATCACACTGTTGATTTGGAATTTTTCGCGAAAGTCAGGTGCTCATTAAACACAGTTCGCAACATAAAGCTTCACGCAACATTTCAAATGCTCCTTTCACATTCTGGGATTCCAATTTACTGTCCCTTGCGTTCCTTCCCCCGTACAAATCCGATAACGAGCTGACATCTCGCCAAAATCTGGAATAAATTTCCGCGGTAATATCCGCACATACGAGAAACCATCTGATCTGTTTTTTCGCTGTTCCGGCCTGGAAAGACGTCCCGAATCGGCATGAACCTTTCGCTTCTACCTGTCGCATTTCTCCGCTTCCTACTATGTAATCCTAAATATTTAACCGATTCCCTAGGCGAAACATACATTTGCTGGTTTGCACATGTAATTTTAGCGTTTTTAAGAATATGAAAAAACATTTTGCATTGTGTTGTAAACCTCTCTGCCATGTGTTACTGAATATGGCTATGTCATCTATATACGGAACTGCGTATTCACTGCACGGCGCTAAAAGTGCGGCCATCATTCTACTGCATTGATATGGCGCGTTCTTTAGGCCAAAGGGTAATCGCAGTGGCGATAGTCCCAAAGTTCGTGACAAATGCAGCTAGCCTCTGCGCTCTTGGCGTTAACCTGATTTGCCAGTAGCATTTCGCTAAATCAAGAGTGTGATTATTTTTGCTGCCGCCACCGTCTCGATCCGCTCTTCCATATTAGGTAGTGGAAAGTATTCTGTTTTAATTAATTTGTTTAATCGCCTGTAATCAATACACGGGCGAGGCTTCCGACCCGGTGCTTCTACTAATATCATAGGCGACGTGTATTCGCTACGCCTACTTCGATAATGCCATCGCGTAGCATTTTACTAATTTCGTCCCGTAATATCGCAGATTGTCTAGGCGGTGTACGATACGGAGCACTACGCTCGGCGGTTGACTCGTCTGACAGCTCAATGTCCATTGTAAGCGCATCCGTTAGTCCAGGTTTTTCAGAAAAAGATATCGTGGTACTTCATTATTAATTGTTCGAGTTTGTCTCTGAACTCGGGCGAATTTTTGGTACCTTCCAGCATTTCTTGTAAATTAAATTCGCTCGCATCGAGTGAACGGCATATCGGTCAATTTCGTCCTCTACCTGTTCGCAGCTTTCAATCGGTGTCGCCACGTAGCTTATGTACTCAGTACGCTGATGATACTGTTTCAGCATATTTACATGGTACACTCGTCCGTCCTTTTTTCCGGCAGTAAACACACATAGTTTGTCGAGACTTTTTCCTTGATCTCGCCGGCCCTACCCACTGTACTGCCAGTTTCCGGGTACGATTTGGCGCTAGGACAGCACCTTGTCACC